CCGTCGAGTGTGCGCCTGGTGATGCTCGACCGTGCACTCCATTTGGTGATGAGATGACGTGATCGAGTGTCTTGTGAGAATGGCTGTTGAGAGTGCTCGACTGAGTGCTCGACTGACTGCTCATTAGTAGCTCCAAATCACCTGAAAACCACAGAAATGTGCAACATGCATGCAAAGCTATCCTAAACATGTAAAGTGGCGACAAGTGATGAGAAATGGTATGAAAGAGTGGTGAAATGATGCTAAAGTGACGACAAATGAATGCTCAAAACAAGTAAAATATAGACATATCAACTCCCCCAAACTTAGCCTTTGCTTGCCCTCAAGCAAACAAGTAAACATAAGATGAAGGAGAGGGTTGAAGGTGGGGATTCAGAACCAAAGCATGCAAACAAAGCAAATGAACTCAATGTCCAAGTTAGTAATTGTGGAATGCATAGAGACCCAACTCTACTTAAAAACTTTAGCCATATTCATCACAAGACAACCTAACATTTGTTCCAATCTACACACACCTTCAGATCATCAATTCCCTTTAACATTGATTAAGCTCAAACCATGAATCAAGCAAAACATTGTTGAAGAACTCGTTTGGTTTAAAGGACAAGGCTGAGAAACAAAGATGGTTCCTCTGTAAATGGTTTCAGACCTTTTCATAGTAACAGGGAACTCTCATGAATGGACAGAGCTTTAGTAGAATGCTAAAGGTTAGAACCAACCTACGCATACAAGAACAGACCCCATCTACCCAAATAACCATAAGTATATCAAACTCCATAGATGGTCCTATCTCTAAACCCCAGAAATGATCCTAATTCTACCCTTTGCACTCAAGGCATGTTTCAATAATCTCTTGGATCAACCCATTCTTTCTTTTTGGTTTTGTTCTAAGGAGAGGTTTTCTTTTAGACTTTCTAGCGGATTGGGACTTTCTTTAGCAACTAAGGCTCTTCTTTTCATCTCATGACTTAAGACATTTCTAGGCTTTTGCCTTTCTTTTTACTTTGCACAGAGCCTAACTTCTTTTATTTTCAAGCTTCCCAAATCCTTTACTAGACTAACATGATATTCTTTTCTGTTTCACTTCCATCTCCTAAGAACAATAACACTTGTCTTTCTTTCTCATTTTTATTCCAAACACATTCCCAAACCCAAAGTAAAACTCCCACCTAGTCCTATCTAGCCCAAAAAGCGTGGACTAGAACTACATGGGATACCATTCTTGTCGGTTCATACCTAACACTTTCTACCAAGCTCAATCCGGAAATAGGCCTCACACACACACAAATTTATTCAGGGCTTGAAAGAAAGGTTAGGTTCAGGGTAGGGGAAACTGTTCCAATGATGGGAATCAGCTACTTGGATTAGCAAGAGTGGTAGAAGGTGAAAGAAAATCCAAGTATGTGTATTGGTAGCCACAAGTTCAACAACAATGCAAAGACATGATAATTATAAGTCAAGTTCAGGTTCTAATAGATAGGGAAAAGAATCACATCAAGCATGCTTCAATTAAAACAAGAGAGTCAAGTTGTGAATTCCAAATATGGTGCTGTCTTACTTCAAGTTCTATCACAAGCATTAAACAACTAATAACGAGGGCATTGAATTCATTCAGTAAATGAGCATGCTTACAAGGTTATCTCATCATCATCCCCTATGCATATGCAACAATCCTACATGAAACATTCTAGACTCAATCTTAAAATGAGAATGCAACTACATGAACACTCTGTTTTTGTGAAATCATTTTCGGAAATTTTTCAAATTTTTAGGCTTTTTTCAATGACATAGATGCATGCAGACTCAAGAGTATGCACAATGCAAAAATTTGAAAATAGGAACAAAGCAAACACATCAGATACTTCCTGAGCCCTCCCCCAAACTTAAATTACACAGTCCTTTGTGTAACAAAAATTTGGAAGAGAGTACTCAGGACAAGCAAACAAAGAAAGAAAACATGAGATGGTATAAACAATGGTGTAGTGGAGTTGTTACCTCAACTGAAGAAGGAGTTGATGTGCTCATCAATGCGTGCTTGTGTGTAATGCCATGCCATTGAGGAGTCTTGTTGTTGTGCTTCTCCTCCTTTTCCTTCTTCATACTCGACCATGTCTTCTAATCACCATGTGGCTTTTGGTGGTCGAGTATAATGTTGATTTTAAAAATTTTGGGTCAAAAACAACATCACACTCGACCATGTTTTTTCATCAGCATGTGGCATCGCGTGATAGAGTTACATGTTGAAACTTCAAAAATCTTGAGACTAAAACCCCATTGATACTCGATCACACAGCTTCACTTGCTCTTTGCCCTTGTGGTCGAGTATTCTATTGCACTCTGAGCTAGAATCCACTTCACTTTGCACTTGACACTCATTTCCTGAAAACCAAAACACTACCAAAATGCATTAAAAATAACAAGGAAATAAAAATATGTACATGGATAGACATGAGACTTCCTCCCAAGTGAGCTTGTTTTAAGTCTCTAAGCTTGACTCCTCACACTCATTAGGCTTAGGGTGGTTTGCAGAGAGGAAATGAGGTCTCCTCTTCTCCTTGAGTGGAGTGATCATCATACTCAGCAAGCTTTTTTGACAGGTTTGCGATTGGATACTCAGTGGTCCTTTTCTCGAAGTAAGTTTCTTTTTGATCAGGAGGATAGTCTTCTTCTCTAGACAAGTCCAATGTGAATTCACATCCTTCTTTGCTAAGCTGAGTAGTTGCTCCATCATTTGGGACGTCTTTGATGTTGAGTGGAACTTGGTTGGCTTTTCCATGGAGCTCTTTGATTTGATCCTTCAGCTCTCTCACAGTGTCTGTTAGCTCCCTTATGGCTTTATCCTGCCATTTAGACCTCCTCTTGAGTTCTAACCAGCCATCTGGCACAGAATTGCTAGACTCTAGCAGCTTATCAAGATGTTTGCTTGAGCTAGAGTTCTCCAGACTAGTTGAAGGCTTGCTCAAGTGTACACTCGAGTCAGTTGGTTGAGCATGTGTCGAGCTTGCTTCATATGCTGCCTTAACCACTGTTTCTGACTCAATCAAACCTTTTAAGACCTTTGACCCTGCTACTTCCTTGTGTGAATCTAATGACTTACCACAGCTCAAGGTTTCAGTGAGAAGATATCCTGCTTCACCACTCTTAGTAAAAGAAGTTTGTTGGTGATCTTCCTCAGCAACCTCCTCTAGCAGTTCATCAGCTAGGCGATCCATTATCTTCACTAAGAAGGTCTGTCCTTCAATTGTTGGCTTCCTCGTGGCGTCATTGATGTCAAACTTCATGTTGAAATTATTTCCCAGATTAAGATCAATCTTCCCATTCTTAACATCAATGATAGCTCCAACAGTGGCTAAGAAGGGCCTTCCTAAGATTAAAGGATCTTTTGGCTCTGCATCCATTTCTAGCACTATGAAGTCTGTGGGGATTTCAACATTTCCAATCTTAATAGGCAAATCTTCTAATAACCCATGTGGTAGTCTGATAGACTCATCAGCCAGGATCAAGGACATGTTGCAAGGTTTATACTTGCTGAAACCTAGTCTCTTGGCCACGGAGAGAGGCATGAGACTTATAAAAGCACCTAGATCACAGAGGCAGTTACTGAAGGCTAAAGGACCCAGAGAGCAAGGTAAGGTAAACGAACCAGGATCTCCCAATTTCTTGGGAATAATCTTCTTTTGTATGATGGCACTGCACTCATGGCTCAGAACTGTTGTTCTCTGAACCTCTTGAATTCTCTCCCTGATCAAGTCTTTCAAGAACTTTTGGGAGTCTGGGATAAGCGCGAGAGCATCAACAAGAGGTATCCTGGCTTCAACTTCTTTGATGTTCTCTGCAAACATAGCTCTGTACTTATCTGCCAACGCTTTCTTTTGTCGACCAGGAAATGGAAGTGGGGGCTTGTAAGAAGGAGGAACAAAAACCTTCTCCTTGTTCTTAGCAGCAACTGGTTGTTCAGCAGGTGGAGCCACTACTCGAGTTGTTGATCGAGTATGTCCATCGAGTATAGGGTCGAGTACTTCAGCTCGTTTGTCAACTTGATCTTCATTGAGACTGAAATCCTCCCCATCTTGGTCTGCACTGTCCTCAGTGACTAGCTTGGGTCCTTCTCTGGTGGATAACACTCTTCCACTCCTTAGGGTGATAGCATGAACATTAGCATACTCCTTTGGATTCTGAATTGCTTTCCCTGTGAGTTGCCCTGGAGGTTTAGGAGTAGAAGTGGATGCAGATTGTCCCTCTAAGTATCGGACCTTGGAGCTCAATGCTTCCACCTTTACATTCAGGTCATTGTAGCTACAATCCAGCTTATGGTGTAATTCAGATATCTTCTTAGCAATCTCCATGGAGCTAGATGCTTGTCCTTGGAGAAGCTGTTGTAGCATTTGCTTCATGTCAGAGTCAGGAGAAGCAGAACTTTGATGCTGCTGAGGTACATACCCAGGTGGTGGTTGCTGCTGGTAGTTCCCCTGAAATTGTTGCTTGGGAGCAAAACCTTGGTTGTATGGAACAAAAGGTTTATTCTGACCCTGGTGTTGTTGTGGAGGATACACTTGATCCTGTGGATTAGCAACGTTGGTGCTACGGTAAGAAAGGTTGGGGTTGTTAGTTTTGAAGTTGTTATATACCCTTTGTAGCCACCTTGATTGTTGATGTAGCTGACCTCTTCTAACTGGTTCCCCTCCCCATCTTGGACTTGATACTGCTCGTCATCAACTAGAAAGTGCACATGCTTCTGCTGGCCAAGGAGAATCCTATCCAGTTTCTCATTAAGAGCTTTCATCTCTTTCTTGTGTTTATCATCCGAGTCAGCTGTTCCTCTATTGGTCCTGTCGCAATCCTCGTTGTAATTACCATCGGACTGTGCTAAGTTCTCAACCAATTCCCAGCCTTCAGCGACGTCCTTGTTCTGGAAATTCCCATTGCTCGCGGTATCGAGAAGCATTCTGATCCGTGGAAGAGCACCTCTGTAGAGTGTGCTCAGCAGTGAGGCTTTACTGAAGCCATGATGAGGACATTGGTTGGTGTAACTCTTGAAGCGCTCCCAGGCCTCACAGAAGCTTTCTCCATTCTTTTGTGCAAAACCAGAGATCTCATTTCGGAGCCTTGCAGTCCTTGCGTTGGAGAAGAATTTTGTAAGAAAGGCCTTCTTGCAGTCGTCCCATGATGTGATTGAACCATGTGGAAGATTCTTCTCCCAGATATGTGCTTTTTCACCCAAGGAGAATGGGAACAACCGGAGCTTGAAACCATCTTCACTGACTCCGTTGATTTTTGTTAGGCTACAGAGCCTATCAAATTCGTCTAAATGGTCGAGTGGGTCTTCCATAGGTAGACCATGGAACTTGTTTCCCTGAATCATCGAGATGAGACCACTTTTAATCTCGAAGTTGTTGTTTTGGACAGCAGGAGGCACAATCCCTTGCCTCTGACAGTGATTCCTCGGTGCATCTCCAGCACCAATGTTGGTAGGGAGATTGTGTGCATCTTGTTCATCAGCCATTCTGAGATGATGGTTGTGTTCAAGATATGCAGTGGCTCTTCTTTCCCGTAGTTCTCTTGTTAAACGGTCGATATTGTCGTTGAAAAGAAGGTTTTGGTTGCCTTTTGATCTAGTTTGCATACAACAGAAGTCGTACCTGGATCAAGAAGACAACAAGAAAAACACTAAGTTAGTAACCGAAGTGAAAATTGAAATAGAACTTGATCTAAGCAAGTCTGAAATCTCAAATGTAACAAACAAACACCCAAATGGCAACGGCGCCAAATTGATAGTAAGAATTTAACTAACTTCAATTATCCTTAAATCACTATCATGTCATTGTAGTATTTTAAGGTGTCAATCCGAATGGGTGTGATGCTAGCAATCAAGATGCAATCAGATTTCACAGAGTCAAGCCAAGCAATAATAGGTTTTGGAGTTTCTAACAGCCCTAAGTGATCATGCAAAAACAGAAATTCTAACAGAAACAGATAATATACTCGACCAACACAGCTTGATGCCAAGCACTGGGTGTGGTCGAGTATCAGGTCGAGTACCAGACAGAAACTGCAAAAATGTACTCTACCACACAGTCTGTTGCCAGACACTGGATGTGGTCGAGTACCAGGTCGAGTACCAAACAGAAACTGCAACAAATGTACTCTACCACACAGTCTGTTGCCAGACACTGGATGTGGTCGAGTGTTTTAAGTGAAACAGGCTAGAAATGCAAAAACTAAGCAACAGGTAACAAGAATAAGCAATCAATAGCAATGTAAGCAGAGAAATCAATTGGAAGAGAAATTCCCGAGGATGGGGTAATCGAGTAATGAAGTCTCCTTAATCTACAGGTGGTTAATCATGCTCAACAAACTATCCCTAGACAACAAGTTCAATAACCAAATCAAAGTGCTACCGCATCAGAGATCCTCAAGCAAAGCTAGTCCCAGACTCAATCACCATTGACGAGAGCTAACCTAACAGGCATTACGAATCAACAAGTCTAAGCCAAAACGCTCCCTGTAACCAATACCTTGGTACAGAGCCACGAATCTCTGGAATTAGTGGTTCAGACATTTCATCGAACACCTTGTGGGTGCGGAAATGTCTGGGCTCAAATTCCAGTTGATCAGAAAGAAATTAGCATTAAGAACAACTAATCCAGAAGGGATCTACCAATCAAACTCAACCACCTAGCAGATCAAGGATTCTAAGCTACTCTAACCCATCCTCAAGAACCCTAATCACTACTCAAAATTCATCACCAAGAACACAAACCCAGAAATGCATAAAAACTTCATATTAGCAAGATCTCAACAAGATGAACAACTTTGTAGAAGAAATCAAAAGCAAATACTCAATAGATTAAGAGAAATCTGGATTACAAATATGAAGAAAGCACTAATTGTTCTGCAGAATAAAACTTAGACAGAATAAAACTTGGTCTCAAAATTAAGAGAAACAACCTATTTATAGCAAATACTAGGAAACCCTAAATCACAAGACGACAAAGTATTAAGGCGGTTTACGGATGCATTCGGCTCGTGCAATCGAGTAGAGAGGTCGAGTAAAGCTGGCGCCTTTGCGGTTTCTTGATCTGGTCGTGATGCAATCGAGTACCTAGGTCGAGTGGTGAGTCGAGTAGTGCTTCATCCTCTTCTCTTCCTTATGCTCAGTGTCTGGTTGAGTTGGGATCTGAGAAGACTCTGAAACTTGTGATTAAGTGGCTGTGGGGAGTGGAGATCAAGCATCCAGTCGAGTGGCTGAAGAAGATGGTGCTCGACCACGAGGTCGAGTGGTGAGTCGAGTTGCTGCTCGAGTGGTCAGTCGAGTGATAGTATTGGCTGATGCTCGAGTGGTGAAGGATGTCGCGATCGAGTAGGCCGTCGAGTGTGCGCCTGGTGATGCTCGACCGTGCACTCCATTTGGTGATGAGATGACGTGATCGAGTGTCTTGTGAGAATGGCTGTTGAGAGTGCTTGACTGAGTGCTCGACTGAGTGCTCGACTGAGTGCTCGACTGACTGCTCATTAGTAGCTCCAAATCACCTGAAAACCACAGAAATGTGCAACATGCATGCAAAGCTATCCTAAACATGTAAAGTGGCGACAAGTGATGAGAAATGGTATGAAAGAGTGGTGAAATGATGCTAAAGTGACGACAAATGAATGCTCAAAACAAGTAAAATATAGACATATCACCAATCATACACACGTTTTCTAGTCATATTTGACTCCAAAAACACTAACCAAGCTTCTTAATGCCTCTCAAAGCTTTGTGGGTGTGGCCGAAGTCCTATGAGTTTTTGGTTTTGGAGCTTCTAAACCGAAAAACACTACTTTAGCTTACGGGATCCGGTTACGGTTCTAGTTCTTATACCCTATCATACACACGAGATCTAGTCATATTTGACTCCAAAAACACTAACCAAGCTTCTTAATGCCTCTCAAAGCTTTGTGGGTGTGGCCGAAGTCCTATGAGTTTTCGATTTGGAGTTTCTAAACGGAAAAAATACTACTTTAGCTTACGGGATCCAGTTGCGGTTCTAGTTCTTATACCCAATCATACACACGTTTTCTAGTCATATTTGACTCCAAAAACACTAACCAAGCTTCTTAGTGCCTCTCAAAGCTTTGTGGGTGTGGCCGAAGTCCTATGAGTTTTTGGTTTTGGAGCTTCTAAACAGAAAAACACTACTTTAGCTTACGGGATCCAGTTGCGGTTCTAGTTCTTATACCCAATCATACACACGTTTTCTAGTCATATTTGACTCCAAAAACACTAACCAAGCTTCGTAATGCCTCTCAAACTTTTGTGGGTGTGGCCGAAGTCCTATGAGTTTTTGGTTTTGGAGCTTCTAAACGGAAAAACACTACTTTAGCTTACGGGATCCGGTTGCGGTTCTAGTTCTTATACCCAATCATACAAACGTTATCTAGTCATATTTGACTCCAAAAACACTAACCAAGCTTCTTATTTCCTCTCAAAGCTTTGTGGGTATGGCCGAAGTCCTATGAGTTTTTGGTTTTGGAGCTTCTAAACCGAAAAACACTACTTTAGCTTACGGGATCCTGTTACGGTTCTAGTTCTTATACCCTATCATACACACGAGATCTAGTCATATTTGACTCCAAAAACACTAACCAAGCTTCTTAATGCCTCTCAAAGCTTTGTGGGATTGGCCGAAGTCCTATGAGTTTTCGATTTGGAGTTTCTAAACGGAAAAAACACTACTTTAGCTTACGGGATCCATATGCGGTTCTAGTTCTTATACCCAATCATACACACGTTTTCTAGTCATATTTGACTCCAAAAACACTAACCAAGCTTCTTAATGCCTCTCAAAGCTTTGTGGGTGTGGCCGAAGTCCTATGAGTTTTTGGTTTTGGAGCTTCTAAACCGAAAAACACTACTTTAGCTTACGGGATCCGGTTAAGGTTCTAGTTCTTATACCCTATCATACACATGAGATCTAGTCATATTTGACTCCAAAAACACTAACCAAGCTTCTTAATGCCTCTCAAAGCTTTGTGGGTGTTGCCGAAGTCCTATGAGTTTTTGGTTTTGGAGCTTCTAAACCGAAAAAACACTACTTTAGCTTACGGGATCCGGTTAAGGTTCTAGTTCTTATACCCTATCATACACATGAGATCTAGTCATATTTGACTCCAAAAACACTAACCAAGCTTCTTAATGCCTCTCAAAGCTTTGTGGGTGTGGCCGAAGTCCTATGAGTTCTCATTGTGAGAACTTATCAAACCTTATCTTTTTATCAAAACTCTTTTGAATCTGTTTGATCACGAGATTGGTGCGTCATATCCTTTCTCAACTTGTGATTGCTTTGGTGTGTCATATCCTAGCAAGATCAAGCTTGTTAGTCTAGAGGCTATTTCGCAACCTCTAGAAGTTACATTCGATCCACAAGACACCCTACTTCGTTTTCAACCCTTCATATCACCATCCTTTGTCTTGTTCGCCACGGATCCATCATCACTTATCACAATCCATACAAAGAGACTTCAAGGGACTGGATCTTCTCACCGAGGATCGCATCACGTGGTATCAGAGCAACTTTGTATCAGGTTGTGTTATTCTAAACTCTTGGTATTCTCTGTTCGTCAAAATTCGATCGTCGTTTTTACGCTTGAATACTTATCGGATCGTAACGAAACTTGTTAAATCGTTTTAATCGCGTTTTGAACTATAGGATTCTGTACTTAATCGTGCAATTTGGAACACGTGAACTTTTCAACTTCTTAGACTTGTTTGAACTTTTCAGATTCTAGGTTTCATGATTTATGTGTTTTTGGGTCTGATTTGATCTGTTTAAAGGGAATTTGATACTTTTGTGTGTTTTAATTCCAGAAACATGTCTCATGAAGATAAGGAAGAGAGTAGGAATGCTCAAAACAACAAGCTATTGATGGAAGATCTCACAGCTACTCTTACAACTACTCTCACGGCTTCTATGGCTAAAATGATGGATGAGAGATTTGAGGTTTACCAAAAACGGAAGAAACAAGAGCTTAAAGCCAAGCCACCAGACAACACTTCGAGATCAACATGGAGCAGCCCACAGAAAATCTCTCACACTCCCAAATCCAACTCTATGTTTTATTCTGATT